TTCGGCTTTGGTGTTGATGTTGAGGTCGATGGCAACGATTGACCGGGCTTAGCGTATTATTTTTTCTTCTTGGGGTTGTCGTAGAATATCCACTTCTCATCTCCAGTCACAATCCGATGCAAAAAACCTTTTCTTTGTTGTCTTTGAATCAGCTGTTCGCAAGAAAAATCGCCTTTCAACGTCTCTCGGTTTCATTTCATAAGGCACCCAATTTCCTTGTTTTTGAATTATTCCCATGGCTCTCAATCGTGCAGAAACGGCTTGTTGAGTTATTCCCAATGATTCTGCAAGCTCCTCTTGCATTCGATTTCAAGTTCCTCTTTTCTGATCTTCTTCGAGTAATGCCTCTAATTTTTTGTCTTCGAATTTTTTTGGCTGTCCAGAGCGAGGCTTGTCTTCAACGCTGAAATCTCTATCCTTGAAACGTCGAAACCATTCCCTACATGATTTATCAGTTATCATGATTTGGAGCAATGTCATAAACTTCGACAAGCATTCAATAGGCTTCAGCTGCACTTTTCTTCCAATTAAAGCAGAAAATTAGAACCTCTCGCAAATGCTGCTTGGTTAACACAAAATTCGACATTTCAAACATAGTAAAAATCAAGGTTTTTGTATGAAACTCAAAGCAATATAAACTGAATATTATTAGCAGATATCTAACCTCTCTGAAAACGCCAAAATCAGTTGTCACTATGAACCATTCACAACAGCCGGAGCTATCTTTTGGAAAATGGACCGAATAATAATAATTTGTACTCCCAATATATTAAAACTGAAATTTTACACAATCCTAATTATAATTAATGCTACTGATGATGGAATAAAATAAGTTTTGTATATTTTTTACGAATAAAATCGTCTTAATCGCAATGTAGTAATTCGCTTTCGAAGTCTTCTGTTTTCATCTTGTAAAGATTTGATTTGTTTGCTTTTCTTTTGATTCATTTTTTTAATAAAATTGATTAATCTTCTCGTTTTTCTCGGTGTACTAACGTCACTGATATTAATTTCTGAAATATATCTTGGCTCTGCAAACGAACGTTTCTTTCGAGGAGGAGAAATGTTCTCTTTAGAAGCTAAAAATATAAAATATTTATCAAAAATAATACTTATTTTCTTTTATAATCAGTGTATGTATTTCTATTTCTATATAATGTAATTTACGTGAATAATAAATGAAAACTTCAGATATTATCTGAACTTCATCATCAAAATCCATTTCATTAGATACAATTGGAGATGTAATATTCACTTCAGATAAATTTGACATACTAGTACTTTCTATTACTGGCACTGAAAGAATAAAATATTTATCACAAAAATGACATTTATGTTATTTCCTCTTACAATCAGTGTATATATTTTTATTTCTACATAATTTGTATGTAACTTACATGAATGATAAGTCGAAGCTTCCGATATTGAATGAACAGCGTTAGCATAATCCATTATATCAAAATTGGAGATGTTCACTTCAGATGATTTCGATGTATTAACTGTAGTACTTTTTATTGTTGACACATTTGATAATTCAACTGAGTGATTTGGTACAGTTATTTCTACAGTGGGTATAGTCCCAGAAGGTAATCTCTTTAATACAACTAAATTATCAGGTAATTCAAAGTGATGTGAGCAAATATAAATTCGGGATACATCTTTTTTATGCAATCCGCAAGCGTCGATCCATTTTTTACGTATTTCTGATGTTTTCGGAAATCTAAAAAGAATAATTTAATTTTTATTAACTATTGTAAGCAATCGGACATGTACTTTCATCATTTGTAATTAAACTTACTTATGTAAAGTTATCTTTTTATCCTCTGTGCTTTTTCTTTTACATAAATAACAAGATCGCGGCATTATTATTAGGAGTATAAATAAGTTTCCGCCGTTTTTTATCAAAAATTGGGCATTTATTGTGAAAGAACGGTACATAATGTTTTATTCGAAGTATTGTCCATCGCTAGCCACTACTTTTTCCCATCTTTCTGGCAGCATACGGATACCGCGTCGGAAGAACGCTTCATCTTTTGAAGCTATCCACGAATCGATTCAATTTTTGGTATCTTCATATGATGTGAAGTGTTGCTCAGACAGGCCATGTGCCATCGATCGAAACAAGTAGTAATCAGAAGGAGCAATGTCCATTTTTCATCACCAGTGACTATACGATGCAAAAAACCCTTTCGTTTGTGCCTGGCAAGCAGCATTTCACATGTGAAAAATCGGCGTTCAACGTTTCTCGGCGTCAGTTCATATGGAACCCAATTTTCTTGCTTTTGAATCATTCCTAATGATTTTAAGCGATGTGAAATTGCTGGTTGAGTCACTCCTAATGTAAGTGCAAGTGCTTCTTGCGTTTGGCACGAATCTTCATCCAATAATGATTCCAATTTCGCGTCTTCGTACACTTTCGGCCTTCCGCTACGTTCTTTGTCTTCGACGTCAAATTCACCGTTCTTAAACTTTTGAAACCACTCACGGCAACTTCTTTCACTTAAGGCAGCCTCACCATATGCTTCTACAAGCAATCGATGCGCCTCAGCTGCAGATTTCTTCAAATTAAAGAAGTAAATCAAAAGCTCCCGCAAATGACGTTTATTCGGCTCAAAACTCGACATTTTCGCACGAAAAAAGATATATGATGCTGATACAAAATCGCTAATATTTCAAGGTTATGTTGTTACCAGATGTCCAATCTTACGATATGACGTTTTACAGCAGACAATTTTAACCATAACATACTGGTGGCACTATCTTTTGTCAAACGGCGGAAACTTATTTATACTCCTAATACCTTTTTTTAATTAGTACTTTTATATAGGTCAAATAACAAACTCAACTTCATTATTGAATATGTCGGACACAATAACGTGATAAAGTATGATAAAATAAGTTGGAAACACTCGCATGTGCATTGCGAATCCCCTGTCGTTCGACTGTAACAGGATTTGATCCGGATTAAACCCTCGGTGGAAACTAGGCCAATAACACAAATAGCGCTAATAACGTCTCCTTGCATCCAGCTCATGTCGAATTTTGAACAACGTCTATGGATTCCGCTTCTTGTTCTCTTACATCATGGTAGACTCTGCTCGATTTCTGTCACCAATTTGCTGGTATAGCATGTCATCAGTCATATTTTGTCATTTGTCATATTTTTGGCAGCAATTTGTTTGTCGACAGTAGTGGGTTGGTTTTTACATTTTGATCCGGGTTAAAACCCTCGGTGGAAACTAGGCTATTGTCTGATAGTATAAACTTTGTGTACAATTGCTTTTCTGCAATCAGAAATTGATAGCAGACTCTACTCAAAATTTATCTCTTTAAATTTGGCTATCTGAGAAATATATAAAATTATATAATATATAACTTTACATAATTATATATAGAATATTTTTTCATGGGAAATAAAGTAGATAAACTATAATAATGCGTTTATAATAATAAAAATAAAATGCTTAAAACACAATAATTTTATAAAATGGGTATAATATATAACTTTAATGTTAATCCTTTTAAGTGAAATATAAAAATCACGCCCATGTAAAAAGACATATAATTGCAGAGATGAGTATTTCTGATCTACAATTTGTGGATACAGCACGATTTTATGAACCAAATATCGATTTATCATCTGCAGTCTTGATAAGTAGATCTGTGTATATTGCAGTGCATTAATTCGCTCATAGTAGCGGCCCGATGTCCGATTTATCGATGTTTATTTTTTACTCAAATACTATCAACTTTACAGAAAAACTGCGAGAGACAAAAATCATTTATTTTCTTCTTATAGAACTCTAATAATTTTTTCAGAATTTTTTATCAACTTTTTAGTACTGCATTTTCTTATTTTCGATAAGTAGGACCGCTACTATGACCCAGTGAATTAATGCACTGCACTGTATTCTCAGAAAAGTGGATCTTGCCATATAGTTTGAATCCTTTTTATCAGGGGGCAGTAGTGTGCGACAGCATTTTGCGGATACAGATTTTGAGCTGTCATGCCTTCTCTATGTCTCTTTGTCTTTCTCTCTGATATTGTAATCGTTTTTTTACGGAGTAAGTTGCATTCCAAACTCATTGAAAAAACAGTGTTGCAAGTAATTTTGCAAATGGTGGAAGTGTTGTTTTAAGATAAATTAATATACAATGGCAACATCAAAGACTACCAATACATATAATAGACAAAATTGGGAAGATGCGGTGAGCATAAAAAAGATTTTTCACGTTCAATTCAAGCCTTTATTTTGTAACACTGATGTCATTTTTATTTTATCATATTGCCTTCGTTGACATGTTTTTCTTGTATAGGAATTCCCAATATTGTGTCAGACGTGTTTGGGAGATAATCCATACATTCGTATGGTAAGTAAAAGTCTGGATAATTATCAAAAATTTATTCAATTGTTATCTTTTATTACAAAGTAAAACATAATAAATTGTTTGAATTACAAAGTAAAACATAGTAAATTGTCTGAATTACAAATGATGAGATGTATATATGTGACATATACAGTGTCCCGTAAGTTTTGACTAATCGCTTTTGTATAGATAAAGCGGATTAAACTGAGTTTATCCTTTACTTCTTTACCATTTTGCAATTTTTGCAATAATTAACAAGATATTAATTACTAAAAATTGTCAAATATTGGTCTTGAATAATTTTTCAAATACTATCAAACTTTACAGAAAAACTGCAAGAGACAAAAATCGTTCTTTTCTTCTCATAGAACTCTAAGAATTTTTTTCAGAATTTTTTATCAACTTTTTAGCACTGCATTTTTTATTTTTACCAACATGAGAAAGTACGATATTAAAAAATTCTGAAAAAATGTTCAGAACTTTATGAGAAGGAAATAAATGATTTTTGTCTTTTGCAGTTTTTCTGTAAAGTTAATAGTATTTGAGTAAAAAATTCAAGACCAATATTTGGCAATTTTTAGTAATTAATATTTTGTTAACTATTGTGAAAATTGTAAAATAGTAAAGGATTTTTCGATTCAGTTTAGTCCATTCTATCTATACAAAAAAGCGATTGGCTAAAACTTACAGGATTTCCTACACACACACACACACACACACACACACACACACACACACACACACACACACACACACCCACACACACACACACACACACACACACACACACACACACACACACACACACCCCTTATATATGAAATGTATATATGTACACACATACACACACACACACACACACACATTTATTATAAACAAAATTGTTAATATTATTATTATGAATTGATTTATAGACAAAGGAGAAATATGGAAAGGAATGCAAGATATGTATGCGACCATTTACAGTATTTAGATGGTGTCCAGGAGCAAGAATGAGATTTAAGAAAACCGAAGTTTGTCAGACATGCAGTCGATTGAAGAATGTTTGCCAAACGTGTTTATTGGATTTGGAATATGGTTTGCCTATTCAAGTTCGCGATGCTGCTTTAAAAATTAAGGATGATTTACCACGTTCGGATGTAAATAAGGAATACTATGTACAAAACATAGACAATGAAATTGGAAAAATTGATCCGACAACACCTGCCGGTGCTGTAGGCAAGTCTGCTGCGGCTAGTGATCTGCTGATGAAACTGGCTAGAACGAGTCCTTATTATAAGAGAAATAGGCCACACATTTGCTCGTTTTGGGTAAAGGGTGAATGCAAGAGAGGCGAAGAATGTCCTTATCGACATGAGAAACCAACAGATCCTGATGATCCATTGGCAGATCAGAACATAAAAGATCGTTACTATGGCGTAAACGATCCAGTGGCAGATAAATTAATGCGTAGAGCAGCAGCTATGCCTAAGCTAGATCCACCAGAGGATAAATCCATCACAACGTTATACATTGGTAATTTGGGTGACGTATTAACGGAGAAACAGCTGCGCGATCACTTCTACCAATATGGCGAGATTCGTTCAGTGACTATGGTGCCGCGTCAGCAATGTGCCTTCATCCAATATACGCAGAGAAGCGCTGCCGAAGCGGCAGCAGAAAGGACCTTTAATAAACTGATATTGGGTGGAAGACGGCTCACTATAAAATGGGGCCGTTCACAGGGAAGACAGACGGTATCGGCGGCAGAAGCAACGAGAGAGATTCTTGAACCTGTCCCAGGATTACCTGGCGCATTACCACCACCACCACCATCGGAAAGCATGAGTAGCAACTTCTTCAATCTACAAACTACTCCTGGTATGATGCCGCCGATGATGATTCCACCACCACCAGTTGCTCCTCAATTTATGTTTCCACCGCAAATAGCAACTGCTGCTGCTGCTGCTGCTGCTGCTGCTGCCGCTGCTGCCGCCGGCTGCACCAATTTTTCCTCCAGGAACTACTCCCATTCATTATCCAAGTCAAGATCCGTCCAGGATGGGTGCGTCACAGGGTATAGGCAAACCTTGGCCAGAAGAATAATATCATAATGCTATATGTCAATTTTTTATCTAATTATATAACGTTATTTAAAGAAAAATATATCATTTTTGTCCAGACTGATTTTCTCTTTTTTTATATGTTTAATTAATGATTCAAATATATTTGTCGCAAAGTATTTGCATTTACGCGAAAGAGTATGAGACCTACGTCATTTTTGTTGTATATTTGTTGGTATGACAACAATATTGATTTTCAGCCTGAGCTAAGTCAAGTTCTTTCTGTACTATCCAGCATTATCCTGTTTAGCTGACGCCCAAAATGTGGCAGGACAACCAAGTGAAATTTGATGTTTCTCATTCGTAATTATAAAATTTAATTATCTTTAAATTATTATTCAGCTTTTAGCTTTTACTAATGCAACTATAAGTTTTGTTTTGTAACTATGTCAAATTGTATGCTCCGCGCATTTGAATAAATGCGAAGTAAAGTAATTAAATAACTACATTTAGTGCTAAATGTGCTGAGTGAAAATAAATTATTAAATAATACGGCGAAAATATTAAATCTTTTTTGCATGTAGTAATATGCAATTACGACCTGGTGAACTCACTGTCGACAAACTTGATATGATAGAAGATACAAAAGGCAATGCTGGGGATCTAGGAAGACTAATTGTCACCAACTTGAGAATCATATGGCATTCTTTATCCTTGCCACGAATTAACTTAAGTATGAAACAATTAGCGCACATATATTATTTTAAACAATAAGTGAAAATATTGATGGATATATACATATATGTGAACAATACAAATAAACGAAGAAAGTTTTATTTGAATAAAGTAAATCTTGATGTCTTTTAAATATTTTTTTGCGTGAATTTTACAATTTCCAGTTCCCCAGTAAACGAGAATGAATTGAAATTGATTGAAATGAATTTAGATTTTTAGAAATATGTTTTCGCGAATTTTGAAACGAATTCCTTTCAATCCTAATGCATTGTTATTCATTTTTAGAAATTGCATTTCTATGCCTTTCAATCCAAAAATAATATCGGCTTTTTTAAAATGTATTGTGAACGCTGCTCAATTAAAAAATCTGAATAGAAAATTCAGTTTTTCAATCCAGTTGAATCTAATTGAATCTAACTGAATTCAATTGATTCCAAAAAAGGTTTTTTATTTAACATATGCATTTGAATAAGTAAAATTTCAGTCTATTTTAATTTATTCTCGTTAACTGGGTCCTGCAAATTAGACGCTGACTATTTATTAACACTACATTATAGTGTTTTAAGATGCTCATCCCCAGCAAACGAGAATGGATTAAAATGGATTGAAATTTTTTTCTATCTGCGTATTTTAAATAGCGAATACTTTTTTTGGATTTAATTGGATTCAATTAGATTCAATTGGATGCAATTGGATTAAAAAACTGCATTTATTATTCAAAATTTTGGATCGAACAGTATCCACAATTGTGCACAGAAAAGGCTAATATTATTTCTAGATTGAAAGGCATAGAGATATGTTCCATGAAATTCCTAAATGAATAAAAATGCATTCAGAATTGAAAAACATTCATTTTAACATTCGTGAATCAATATTTCTGAAAATCTGAATCCATTTTAATTCATTTCAATCCATTCTCGTTTGCTGAGTCATCAGCATTTGACTGACAAATAATTGACATGCAGTTTGCATAAATTGCAAATTGTAAAATTCATGTAAAAAAAGAATATATTATTAGGCACCTACAAGATCGGCTGTTTTGTGACTAATCAAGGCTTTCTTCAATTATTTGTTTTATAATTTTTTAAGTTATAATCTGTCACATATAGTAACTTTCCAGTACCCAGCAAAGAATGGATTAAAATGGATTAAAATTTTTTTAATGCGTAGTTTAAAATGGGTTTCATGAAAATGGATTGAAATGGATTAGATCCGAGCTGACACTAGTTTAATATTCGAAAAAAAATTCATATTTAAAGATTACAAATTTTATTTCTAAAACATTTATAATAGTTATATCTGAAATTAACTACTTCAAATTGGTATTAAAAAACCCACCTTAGTGGGATTTGAACCTAGGACCTCTGGATTATGAATCTTCTACGCTACACCACTTCTTCAATTGGTAAATGTGTTATTCATTCTTTACTTCAATTACAATCAGCTAAATTAGTAACAAAATTATATAGATATATAATAATAAAAATATCATCATTTGACAAATATAATAAAATATAAACAATTTATATTACTATGAGACAACATTGTGTAAGTGTGGATAATTTTAATCTCACTTGCCTGATGTCGCGCGCCGTGATTAGCCTAATATTCGGGCTGTGTTTGATTTAGTTTGCGAGTGTTCACTCATCGATCATTTATTTTACTTCAATCAAAGATAAACAAATGAATATAGCTCAATTATTTTTATGTTACAATTTTTTTGAACTTAATTGGATTAAAATGAAAAATTTTCTATTTATAATTTTAAATAATTTAAGTACAATTTATGGTCCATTTTTAAATAAAAACTTTTTTTATTTAATTAAATTGAAAAACTGCATTTCATATTCAGAATATTGAATTGAGCAATATTCACGTTGCACAGAAATTGTTGATATTATTTTTGAATTTAACTGAATATTATTTTTAGATTGAAAAGCATAGAGATACGCTCTATGCGATTTCTATAAATGCATTCAGGATTGAAAAGGCATAGATATTTGCTTTATGCAATTCCTATAAATGAATCGAAATGCATTTAGAATTGAAAAAGATTCATTTTAACATTCATGAATCCGTATTTCTGAAAATCTGAATCCATTTTAATCCATTTCTATCCATTCTCATTTGCTGGGTAAACAAGAATGAATTGAAATTAATTGAAATGGATTCAGAATTTTAAAAGTACGTATTCGCGAACGTTGAAATCGATCCTTTTCAATCTCAATGCATTTTTTTATTCATTTATAGGTATTGCGTGAAGCGCATTTCTGTCTTTTTACTCTCTAAAAGTGAATCAGTAGTATATATTAGGTGTAGTAAAAAGAAATCCAATTAAAAAGAATTATTTTTTCAATAGATGGCTTTAGTAATCTGTATCTCGCGAACGCGAGAGCAGTATTCACGATGCACTTAAAAAAGCTGATACTAAATTTTACTTTGTAAAAGTAAATGATCAATGTACATATTATCACTGACTTCAGTGCTACACTTATTACTGATGTAATCATCAGCGAATATGTACTGTTTTACAGTAATATTTATTGTTTTACTGTAAAACTGATTCACTTTCAGAGGTTATGATTTCTGCAGATTTCTTCAGAAATCATAATTTCTAAAAATGAATCAGTTTTAGAGTAAAACAATAAATATTTGCTAATATTACAGTTATAAGTGTAGCACTGAAATCAATGATAATACATACATTGATCATTCACTTTTATAGAGTAAAAGTTAATATCAGCTTCTTTAAGTGCATCGTGAATACTGCTCTTTTTAAAAAATCTGGAAATAGGAAATGCAATTTTTTTAGTCTAATTGCATTCAACTGAAGCAACTGTGTTCCAAAGCTGAAAATCTACAGTTTACATTACGTATACTATACATTTTCAACACTGGCAGTGAATTTTAGAACACAGTTTGAATAAATCAAATTTTTAATTTTAAATCATCGGTTAGAGATAAAATTACAATCCATTTTAATACATTCTCGTTTACTTAGTTATGTTTTTCTAAAAGAAAAAAGTCATGCAAATCATGCAATGATTTTATAGGTATAGGCTATAATACGTTTATCACAGTGAATACGAAAATTCTTCATACGGTAAGAATTATTTTAGCATGAGTATTAATAGGGAGTTTGCATAATTTTTGAAAAATATTTTATAATTTACACACACACACACACACACACACACACACACACACACACACACACCTTTAACTTCAATTTTTTAATAATTTTTTAACGCAAATTATGCAAAAAAAATAAATAATAACGTATTGCATTATTTGAAATGCCGAAAACAACCGAGCCCTTCCGAACGCGCTGTGACGTTGCACAAAGAAACCATAATTATTCAGTAAGAAATTAATTTATTTTAAAAATGAACAAAGGAAACACGTAAAAATGTGTTTCGTACCTGTGTGTAAAAGCACAACAATTAAAATACCGGAAAAATTGTTCTTTTATGTGCCTCAAGTTGAAAACGTGAAAAAAGAATGTTTTAAAAGTGTACATCATATTGACGAACCAGGAAAATGGAATTATTTTTGTTGTGAAGATCATTTCGATATAGGTATTATACAAAATACGAGATCTGATAAAAAAATGCGAACTTTTTGAATTACTCGGCAACGAAGTATCCTAACGACGTGCAGTTTGTAGCACTACAATCGTTATAATCTTCCGAATAACTGGCTTTTTAAAAATTGTTTACATCTCGTTTAGTTTCAGAGCTATTGCTATTTGAGTGCAACGTGTAGTATTCGTGGCGCTTCAAACTAAATTTTTATTTTAGGAACTGATTTTAATTTTGGGAACAAGAAAAAGTCGCAGGGAGCAAGATTTGGGGAGACAAGGCTGAATGGGTAGGTTATGTAGGACAACATGAGTTGTCTCGCCACTGTGGTCTCTTTACGAATTTTTTCGCATAATCTTTTTAAAACATCATCATAGTACTGGCGGTTGATTGTTTGACCTTGAGGCAAAAATTGCAAAAATTCATTTCGAGGCGAAAACCCGCCAACCTCGCCACAAACACTAAAACACGTTGTACTCAAATAACAATAACTCTGAAACTAAACGAGATGTAAACAATTTTAAAAAAGCCAGTTACTTGGAAGATTATAACGATTATAGTGCTGCAAACCGCTCATCGGACACTCCGTTGCCCAGTAATTCAAAAAGTTCGCTTATTTTTTTATCAGACCTCGTATTCTTTATGCTCTTTAAATATAACAATTTATAAAAATATTAATCATGTTCATGTCACAATATCTAATATAACTTAAAATGTAAACTATAACAACAATGTTAGCGCGCTAACATGCTGTAATTTACGTTACGCATATTATGAAATTTTAAAA